ACACCAGTACAGAGGCTAATTTGGAAAAAATGCATGCTTTTCAGTGTTTTCTGTATTTTACTGTATACACAATGAATAATTCTTTCACTGCAGATTCACTAACATACAGAATTTGTGGAAAGAAACCTCAGTGCGGCATTTCTCACATTGTGCAGTGTGATCTCCCCTCTTTTATCTGGAAAGCAGGCTGGTTTTAAAAACGGATGTAGAATAGTCAGAACAGGCCTGTCTGGGGTCAAGATAGTTGGAGAGGGAAGACAGATGTAAACAACAGTATTCACTTAAAGAAAGGGTGTGGGGCAGTAAAATACCTTGGGAAAGGCCAATTAAATGATACTAGGAGGGCTGTTTAATACTAGTGGCAGAAGCAGTATGTTTAAATTCAGGCTAAAACTAAATATATTTGTAACGTGCTCTAATACCTCTTAGATAAAGAGGAAAAGGGCGACAAAAAGATCTTGAGATCATGATTTAACCTTTTCCACTGGCTGCAAAGCTGAAGGCTATCAAGGCCAAGATCTATGGCCCTCTAAAATTCAAAATATCAACTAAGAATTACGCAAAATGTTGTGTAACACAGTACCTCTAGCTTTAGGACTAGACTTTCATCACTAAATGGGAAAAGGAGAAAGCTGGGAACTGCAGATTTCAGAATAAGCTAGCTCCTCTCCAACTTCTAAGGGTTCTTCTTCCTTGGTCAGAAGAATTTTACCATTTAATGTTTTATCGTTTAAACCTTAATGTTTTCATTAACTGACAACATCCCTCTCCCATTTCCATGCGTATGATCATTAATAGTTTTACTATTTTCCTTTTGTAACAAAAAAATCCCAGCACTACAAGGTTTAATTAAAAGCTTTTTTTCAAATACGGTTTATACAAGGTGAAAATAGCTTTCTAGTCAAGTTTTTGAACTATGCTTTTTTTTTCCCCCCCCTAAAATTAAACCAAAGACCTCCTCACTCCTGTTCACGAGGTCACAATTATTTTTCCTTCCATTAATTACCTGCAACTCTCCTTGCCACCATCCACTCACGTTTTTCTTCAGAATAAGTATTAGCTGTCCTGGAGCCAGACTAAGCTGTTCAGTTCCGGATGCAGCATAGGCAGTAGTAACCTGAGCAATTTCTGAAAAAAAAATTAGAATATTAATTGTATGTACTATTTTTTTCATTATAGTAGGAGCTAGATCCACAGAAACATCCTAGTACATACCTTGCAGTTAAGCACATTAGCCACCATTAAAAGACTGCTGTCAATCTGGTCCTAAATGTAAGTACTTTACTTTTAACATTTAGGACTGTTATCAACACTTACCAGGTTTCTTATTTATTGTTCCAGTTTTGCCAGCATTACTAGAACCCTGAAATAAAGACACAACAATCATCTTTTAATGTGCAGTATAAACAGTAGAATTTGTACTAGTTTAATTCATGTGCACTGAAATTTTCTTTTGCCATAAAAACACCTCCGTGCCTCAAAAATAGACCGTCCTTTTTGTCCTCTTCCAGTTGAGGTAGCAACAGAAGTGGCATTAATTCCAACTTTACATGTCTACCTCTAAATTTGAAACCCTAGGCTCCCTTTGGATGAAGAAAAAGGCACTTTTATGGCATGATTCAGATGGTCTATTTAAGATGCCTACTTTATAAATGAGATTAACTTTGCCCCCCAGTAGTGCCCAGTTCTTCCCAGTAACTATTCAGAAAGTCCGATCGCTACTTTGTACATAGATGTTCATATCCAATTAGATCAAAATACTTTCTTAATCAGTAATTTATCTCAGATGTAGTGCTAGAGAATCATAACTTCTGTAGACTGCTCAGGCAAAAACAGGTTTTAGATATGTGGACAGAAAAGCACACACAGCTTTTCCCTTTAGGCCTGTATTTACCAGAACACCATGATCCTGTGCAGACAGAAGCAGCGTGACGCTGTTACGAGAGCACTGAATTAGGATTCAGGCTACCTGGGATCCATATCCAGCTTTTGTTTTTTTTCCAAGCACTTTAGCCTGTGTCCAGTGCTGGTCTCCCCAGTACAAGAGCTTCTGGAGTGAGTGCAGTGAAGGGCTTCTGAGATGATTAAGGGTTGGAGCATCTCTCATATGAGGAAAGGCTGAGAGACCTGGGACTCTTCAGCCTTGAGAAGACTGAGGGGGGATGTGTGTAAGTATCTGAAGGGAGGGCGTCAAGAGGATGGGGCCAGACTCTTCTTCGTGGTGCCCAGCGACAGGACAAGAGGCAACGGGCACTAACTGAAACATAGGAAGTTCTGTCTGAACAGGAGAAAAAATTTTTTTCCTGTGAGGGTGACTGAGCACTGGCACAGGCTGCCCAGAGAGCTGGTGGAGTCTCCTTCCCTGGAGATATTCAAAACCTGTCTGGACGCGATCTTAGGCAATGTGCTGTCAAGGACCCTGCTTGAGCGGGGGGGGGGGTTGGACTAGATGATCTCCAGAGGTCCCTTCCAACCTCAACCATTCTGTGGTTTTGTGAACCTCTGCTGAAAATCATCACATAAGAGCTAGATACTAATAACAATAATATAAAATCAAAAGAAAGCACCTTGCATTAAGTGAAAGGCTCAAAATAAGGACTCACTTCTTGATCCTTTGGTCTGACGTAATTGGAGGGAAAGATTCCAGTTCTGTCATCAATGCTGCCTGTCCACCACTCCCCTTCTTTCTGAGTCACTAGTATTTCCTCACCTTCCATAAAAGTCAAGTCACCAGGTTCGGAGCTTGAATATGAATAGAGCGCAATATACTCTGTATAGGCAATATATACAAAGAAGGAGACAACAGCTTCAGCAAGGAGGAGAGAAGCACATCAGATGCAAGGAAAGGTATCTGATATCAGCATTCATCAACATGTTCATAACAGGGATCGTGTCTTAGCAAGTTTATGAATCAACCTACCTGCTCAGTTACAATCATCTGGCCTCATGCATACACCTCTGGCTTACAGATATACAACATTTTCCTGACAAATGTATTTGCCACAGTTGTAGTTATTACCCTTTGAACATCCCACAGATAACAGAAACCTGTAGACCACAGCTAGAGAACTGTTATCTCTCGTATGAAGCACTTCATCCCAGCTCCACGTTTCTAACAGCCATTAACATTCCACACCTATATCTGATTAAACATATTTTTATCTGATTAACATAGCAGAGATGGAAAACATCAAATGGAATTAAAACGTGATTGTGGGAGCATGGAGAATACACTAGATTAAAAGGCCTAGAAAGTGCTTCTCCCAAATTTTTCTCCATTAGTACTTGTTTTCTCTGCTCTTCACTGATTAAAAGAGAACGGTCCACACTTAGAAGACTAACAATCTCTTCTTGTGTCTCTACAGTATAACACAGTACAGTAAATAGCAACAGGAAAAGAGAAGTCAGCTTATGGGTATGAGACATAGTTTAGTTTTCAGAAATATCTGTAGCTAGTCACAAATCCATGCTTGAGCAGGAGTCTTAAAATAAAACAGCAACAACAAAACCCTCTCATACCCAAGCCTACACTCAACCTGAATTAGTTACAAATTTTACTTTTTCATATTTTATGATTTTTGTAACAGTAGCTTGATATTTGCACTGTATCTTTCGGGCAAGCACTCAAAGATTTGCTCAGAAATTCTTTATATATCCAAGCTTATTCACATGCTGTTCAGTAGGAAAAAACTGTATCACTAAATGACATAATCCATGCAGCCTTACCCTCTCCAGCCATGTAAGACTGTGTATTAGGCCTCTTGTTTACAGCTGCATAAATCGCTTCTGGTCTGCAGGAAAACAAACAAACAAACACACACCCAAAAATTTCAGTAACTAAGAAGGCTGATTAAGAACAAATCTCTTTATTAGGATGAAACTGAGCTCACTTTAGCATTTCCTCTAAATAAATTACTAAGGCTACCTTGACTCTCAAACAGTGACAGGTATTACTAGTATTTAAGCTGTGGGTAGAACCCAAGAGCAGAGGACTTCCAAAAAAGTATTGTGATGAAAAACTAGAAGATCTGTTAGGAAATTATGCCCTCCAAAAGAAGCACAAATGAAAAATTTTGTCCAAATTCTCTCACTTAAGAGAATTTCAAATAACTTCTACCGTAACACATGAAAAGATCAATTCACACACAACGGTGCAGCCATTCTAGCACTAACTAGACTCTGAATAATTACCTGAAAAGTTACCTACAGCATTCAAACAGACATAATTCTCTTTTCAAGTAAAGAAAAATACCGCTATTTCTGCAAGATATGCCTTAAGAGTTTATAATGCTGAGTGTTAAGGAATTCTTGGTAACTCATTTAGTACTTGACACCTTCAGAGACACAAAGCAATTACATGCTAGAGGGCTGACTCAGTAACGAACCAAAAAAAAAAAAAAACCTAATACCGCTGATTTTTCACAGCACCCAGCCTTGGAAGACCTTTTGTTTACACAGTAGTGACCCCAACATTACTTAACCTGCAAAAAGGAAACAACAAAAGCCTAAAATTGCATTGTATAAATGATAAATTCTGCACTGTAAAGCACTACAACAGTTTTGCACTCTGCACTGTGGCTTTTTGTAAACTGTTGAATAAAATAATAATAAAGTCTCACTCACTCCTCTTTCTTGATTTCACTCCCAGGCAGGAGCTTGACGTAAGATTTTGGAAACCAGCCCCTTCCTCCATGTACCTCTCCAAACCACCAGTTTTCCTGCTGCTCCAGCACAGTAATGATATCATTTTTCGAAAAATTCAAGTGGTTATCCTTTTTTGCAGTCCAAGAGCAAAGTGCTTGTGCTTTTAAGTTCTCTACAGGTTGTCCCTGTTAAGACAGAAGCACAGGTGTTGATTGAACTTACTACCCAAAACTGGTGCAAGCATTAGAAACAGATGTATCATTTCTTGCACTCCAAGCCAGTTCATTCCCAAGCGTTGGCAGAACGCTTTGGACAACATTTGCATTGCCATACATATGCTGTTGATTCAGGAACAATTTCTCAACTCTTTTTCTTATTTGTCAGAATATCTCACGTGGTCAGTTCTAGGGGAAAACGATAATAGCATTAGGAAAGAAACTGCATGGGTCTTGCTCTCACCAAAATATATGGAATTATATCAGTGCATACGTAGTGGGGAATTCAGACTAATTTATTTATTGTATAGACTTATGGTAGTCCAGTGTTAAGAAAAGAAGAGGTTAAAAAAAAAATAAAAGTCAGTATCATTAACACGAATCTAAAATACAGCAAGTTCTCCACCTCACACAACATACCTGTCCATGAATAGGTGAAACAGATCCAGGGGACACAGTGCGAGTAAAAGCTGATTTTTGCTGCCATGCTGCATTAACATTCAGGCTTGAAAAAGGTATGTTTTGGTAATCAGATTCTTCTACTGATTTACTTGGTGAAAGTGGTCTGCAAATTGAATACAAGCATATTTAACACATGACAACTTTTATTTAAAAAGCATACCAAGTAGAAATGCTATTTTTACATATATAAAACAGATACTCTATACAATGCAAGCCAGACTATCAAAGATTTAAAACATACAAGTTAAGACCGTTCCAGATTTAAAACATACAAGTTAAGACCGTTCCAGATTTAAAACATACAAGTTAAGACCGTTCCAGATTTAAAACATACAAGTTAAGACCGTTCCAGATTTAAAACATACAAGTTAAGACCGTTCCAGATAGCTTCATCAATAAACTTTCTGCATTTACATTTAAAAACAAACACATAATGATACTAACACATTATGTGTTAGGTAAGCTGAAAAAAGGCAATTTAACACAAATGTAAAAACAAACAAACAAACAAAAACTTACTCTGAAGCAGCTGAGGTAGTAGATAAAGATACTGTAGGAGGAAGTAAGGCCTTCTTGGGAGATAAAGATTTTTCTCCTTCTGATATTTTTTCTACATAATTGCATGGAAACCAACCAAAATGTCCTTGAAAGCTCCCATATAGCCAGCCAGGCTCTCCCACAGTTTTTTCATCAACCTGTGGATAGGAGGATAAAGGCAAAACAAAACAAAACAAACCAAAACCAATTAAGAACACGAGGCAAACAAGTTATCAAGTGTGTAAGCACCTCTTGGCACGCTAAATTTAATAGCGTGAGCGGCAGTCATCCAAGCATCAGCCTTTCCATTCTCTTCCCTATTAGAATTCAGCCGATTTTGCCCAGTTGAAGGAAGAGGGTGATGCAATTGCACCGCGTCTCTGGCAGCTCCTCGCGAGGCATCCCTCTGAACCTGCTGGCCAGCTTCAGTGAGTTTCAGAGACAGGTAGAGACAGGCCTCCAAGATGTTACACTCCTTCAAACAGGCCCCACGCAACCGGGAGGTCGGGGACCACATACAATACCCGGAGCCATTCTGGCTCACCAAAAATCATGACGCACTGTGTTATGTTTGGCTGAACACACAGCCAAAAGCAGCATCGGGTTAGCCTAGCAGCGCACGGAAGCTGGTGCAGTTGGCACACCAAAGTCCTTGCGCTTACAGAACCGTTGTCGTCTTAAGCAAGGAACTATAAACATATTTCTCAGTAGTTTTATTTGAAAGAACAGAGGAGGCATGTGCTGAGTCTGAAACTACCTGTATCAAGAAACACGTCCAAAAATTCTAGTGCCTACTGTAACGGTTAGACAGCGCCCTTAGGCATTTGAATGCATCAATATTAAAGCCCCTATTATGCTGCATATATTCAAACATAAAGTAAGGAAAAAAGGCCAATATTAGCAGCTCAAATACTAACAACTAGTTAGTTCAGTTGGGGCTTGGGGCAGAAGAGGAGGAGGAGGCTGTTGGCATATTTCTAAAAGACGACGTCAGCAGTTAAATGGCACTTGGTTAATTATATCTGAAAAGGAAGCCAAAACAGCACCTACTTCTCTTGCTTCCTCTTCCATGCTTCATTGGCATCAAAATGCAAATACGTGATTTAACACTGTCAAACTGAAGTCTAATACCTAAAGGTTTTAAAATTCTGTAATAATTGCTTTGTAAACTCAGCCTTATCATCTGCCTGTTTCACTTACAATCCAAATGAGGAGGAATCATATTTATGTATATATAGTAGCTACGTATACATTACTCTATCACCACAGCTGTAAATCAGTTTTTACAGGCCTACAGATTGCTTATGCTTTCCAAAAATATACGTATGCTAACAAATGAAATAATTACATGAAATAATACCGCTTGCAACTGAGAAGCCAGAAGACACTCCCAGCCACATGTTCCTGCTCTCACATTATGGATAGCATATGCATCTGAATCCACGAGTGTGCTTCAAAGAACGGACTTGGAATAAACTACTCTAGATATCTGCCTGAGGGTGCACTTGCAAAGGATCAGCCAAGTAACTTAATCCTTTTTTGTCTCTTAAGACTACATTAGAAGACACCATTCAGATGTCTTGATCGTACAGAAGAACCTTTCACACCTGCTTCTTAAATAACCAGTCTGTTTCATCTAAATTCAAATGCCATTAATAATCTTGTCTTACTATGTATCCATTCATGCCACTGTGTACTATACTCACGTTTCAAGCAGAGAGTTGGAGGACTGTCAGTACACGTACAAAAAGCTGCAGTAACTACATCATTTCTGATCTACTAATTTTAGAAAGTTTATGTTTGGAGTTTACTACTATTATTCTAAGCTGATTTTCAACACCTCTCACATGTTTAAGACCCACAGATAGACTTTAGCTAAACTAATTCTAATTTCATCCTTCAAAAAAAAAATTAAATTTAAAATTCAAGTAAGTCTAAAATATATCAACACAATGCTTTTGACACTGAAGACCTTGTAGATCTCAGGACTGGGGGAGCTGTTCACTTTTTTGCAAGTTAAGTGTGAATGGCAAATACTTACCTGAATGATATCCCCAGTATTAAAGCTCATCTCATCATGATTCCTTGCTTCAAAGGGATATAAAGCTCTGTAATTTACCAAGGCAACTGAATTCCTAGGCTCTGAGGCACTAACTGCACTGCCTGAAAGAATGGGAGGGGGAGGGGAAAAAAAAAAAAGAAAAGAAATGATTAGTTGCCTTTTTGATACAACTGAAAGACATGCATTTAGTTGGAGGCCTATTCATTCTAAGCAACAGGTATGAACATAACAAGAGAACAGTTCTCATGGGAGATAACTGCACAAAAGGCTGAGGGGATGCACACAATGCAAGAGTTTAATATGCTAATCATCATAAATGTAACACAGGCAATAAAGTACATTCTCCTCCAAAGCAAAAAAAAAGACATCTTTATCTTCTCATCCTTTCTTGTCAAATAGCTTTGGCCAAGCCAGTGCTTCAATATAGTCCCTTTCAATACAATTATAATTTTCCAAGGTGAGAACACCCTTCTCAACAGTAAGTGCTCAGCAGCACAAATAATTTTACTTAAAAGCCTGAAACACCAAAATACCATGTATTTCTATTTTCTGCACATCTTATGTTCTCCAAGTCTGCTAATGATGTTGCTAAACAGCTGAGCAGTTTTCAACGTGTAGCTGACGTGCAAATATCTGTCAGTACCACCCTAACTTGGTTCAGTGATAAAGCCGTCTTTAAGAAAAACTGACGAGATTTAACGAACAAAGGAACTAATCAAAACTGGCTCTAATGAAATACCGTTTTATCAGTATTTTTCAAGGTCCCACAAATAAAGTTAGGTTGACTTCAGTTCCTTTTGCTAATAAGATGCACAGGTTAATACAGAAACGAAGTGGACTGCAATGTTAATAAATCTGAAGGTTACCTGTCCATGCATCCATCATCTAACAAAACTGCACCATGTTAGCATTCTGCTTTAATGACAGAGTTAAAGCCTTATGAGAAAGCTAAAATATTACTGTTTCCAGCAGCCATGATTTGTTGGCCAAGATCACTGGAACATTTGTCGCAGAGCCATAGGTACTGAAAACTGATAAAACCCAACTGAAGTTAATAGAACTAGAATGATTTATACCAAACTAAAGACATGGAGTATTGCTTTTCGAATAATATTTTAGATAATAAGCCTGCCATATTGTCACGTTAACAACAAGACAGCTAAAGAATGAAATGATACTCAAGACAATAAGAATGACTAAAACCAAAAAAACCCAACAGACCTTCATTTTCATTCATTTACCTTTATTTTTCCACGGTGGCTTAAAAACTTTACTCTCTGTTGGTTTCAGCAGATCTGCTAACTTCTCATTTATGTTTAATTTAGAAATACGTTTCTCTGTCTCTTGAGAGCTGGTCACTTCTTTTCTTTTCTTTAGTTCTTCATTCTGCCTACGCCTCTCCTCAGCTTTTGCTATTTGTTCTTGTTTTCTTTTATCTTCTTCCAGGTGCCTCTGCCTTTGCTGTTCTGTTTCTCGCAGAATCTCAGCTTGCTTGGTTTTGCTCTCCTCTTCATGAAGCTGTTGCTGATTTTCCCTTTCTCTCATCACAGCAACTGCTTCTTCAGCTTTCTGTTTTTCTTGGATCTTCTCCTGTATTCGTTCTTCCTCCAATCGCTTTTTTTTCTCCTCCTCTTCCCTTCGGATATTTGCCTGCCATCGATTCTCTTTCTCCTGTTTTGCTTTTCTTAAAAAAAAAAAAAAGGGGGGGGGGGAGAGCACATTCAAGTCAAAAATGAATGAGATGGTGTTAATAGGATAAACATCAGCACTTTTAAGTAAAGCTGTGTCTGTGGTGTCGGTTACTTTTCATTCTGGGCCATAAGCAATTTGGGAAGAGATTGCTTTGCCTCATGTGTATGCCAGTATATTGCACATATAAACAACAAACGGATTAAGAGTCTTCATAGAGAAACACTGCGACATAGTTACTTGGGCAGCACCTCCGTGAGCACTTCTGTTCACCTACATTCTTATGAGCAAGAAGCAATCTGCTAATTTAATGAGGGTATTTTTAAGCTGTCTGCCAAGGTAGTAACCAAATCTCATGACTGCAAACTAAGATTGCCAAACAGATTCAATAACAAAATTAGTCTTTGGCAGATGCATAAAAATAGTCTTTGCATATTGATCTTTGCTGCTTTACTTCCTTGTCTTCAGCGGTGGCAATTTATTCAACGTTTACTCTTTCAGCTGCCAAATCACACTCTTTAGCAGAGAGAAAGAGAGAGAATCGGCAAATCTGTCTGTATTCTCTGAAACTGCCCAGATTTTAACCCGTGCCTTATCTTCCCTGATAAGTCATTATCCAGTTCAAACACTCGCAAGGAAAAAAAAAAAAGAAAAGAAAAAAATCCACTGCATTTTAGCTGACAGGCCATCCTTCTGGTCTCACCAGCTGTCCTTTGCCTTTGGACCACAGCTTTCTGGAGGGATTCTTGATGAGGGATCATCAAGAAGGAGACCGCTGTACCAAGTGAGTGGGGAAAGTCCACTGATCTGATGGCTGTTTTACCGCGTGTTCAGACACATGACAAGATTGAGTAGGAGCTAAGCAGTAATATTGTTAACTGTCTCATACAGTTGTGTAAGACAGAAAAATTAACAGGACATCATTGTACAGATGGCATACCGTCCTCTTAACATGACTGTCACAAACGTTTTAAAATTCCTATAACGTGATCGCAGAAAAATGTTGTCATGAGTTAAGATCAAGAGCACTAAAGATCATTCAAGACTGTTAAAGCAAGTGAGAATCATTGAAAAAGAAAATCTCAAACTAAAAAGACAAACACGGCAATTCTCTGTTCTCATAGTAAAAACCTGAATAAGAAAAGTCAAACTAGTATAACAAAGACATTCCAGAGCTGAGAACTCACCACTGAAAGCACTAATCCCACCTATTCCCTGGCACTATTTCAATCTGGCACTATTAAACTCTACCACCAAAGTTATAGCAGTACAACAGTCAGTGCACAGTATAAGGTCCAGAGAAGCCTACGACAGGCAATACCAAAACCTAAAAGCTATGATTTCTTAATCAACACAGGCAAATAAAGCTAGTTGCAAATGAGGCCGTAAGAAAACAAGAGGAGAGAAAAGTAAGTTTGGGTGTTTGATACGAGGCTCGGCTTAGCAAAAACAGCATCACATACACGAAAGAAGGAATGACCCTTTCTTAAGGACGTATGTGAAGTTTCTCACTGCTCTTTTTAAAAAAGAATCCAAAACTTAAAATTTGATCACTCATCCAACTTTCCATATTAGTACAGGAATTCAGCAGTCGGTGTTTCTCCTATTTTCTTAAATATTAGGTGACTACAAATATCACAACTGTTTGGCGTTTCGACTGGAGTTTGCATTTCTAAGCAAATGGACCAGATCTTCTCAATGTCAGAAAAACAAAGTAGAAAGTATAAGGAATTTCACACGTGTGAGAATTATGTGTTAAGCTAAAAATCCTAAAAGGGAAAGTAACTACTTGGACTATTTATCCATCAACTTAAATTCTAAGTTTTTTAAAGAAGAGGAAGATAAAAACAGACTGGAGAGAGGAAAGTCAAACCATCTTATATCAGCAGTACTCCATATTAAAAATTTTCTCTAAGGCAACTAGGATGTGTTTTTACCAGACTTCTTGTTCATTTTAATTAACATCTTAAAGCATTATTTTGCTGTAGAAACAGCAACGCTGGTACTTTTTGGACACGGTACCTTGCAGCCTCATCTTCCAGTCGCTTTTTCTGTGCAAGTTCAGCTCTTCTTTTTTCTACTTCTCTTATTTTATCCTGTTTGATCCTGTGGAGCTGCTTCAAGGCTAATTGCTGCGTGCTATAACTTTCTCTCAGGTCCTAATGAGGAAACACAGTGAAGTACATCAAAAGAAATAAAGCCTTTTTTTTTTTTTTTTTTTGAGAAAAACATCCAGGCATTTTAATGCTTTGTGAACCAAGTTCTAATACAAATTGACAAAGTGATACCAAATTATGAATAGGCCTTGAAAGTCACTGTAAAGAAAGTCAAACAAACAAAAATATAAAAACAGCTGGCTGGTTTGCAAAGCCTTTTATGTAACTTAGGCTTTCAAGGAGCCCTTCCAGGCATGCACCAGCTGGAAATGGCAAATATGACAGAGGAAACAGGAAAACATGAAACTGAGCAGTGAAACACAATGTTATCTAAGGACAATGAGGACAACGAAGCATATTTTAAACAACCAGAAGACACATTTGTTGAGGAGGCAGGCTTTAAGGGAAGCCAACACAATATCATAAACCTGAGTTTACATTCCCTCTTTTCTCCTCTTCATTCACCATTGTAAAATATAACTGAAAAGTGCTAGGTTCAAACAGAAGACTACAACAACTGAGGCAGAACTGCGATGGTCAATCCCATATTAAAATCAGAAAATCCAATAAAAATATTCAGTAGGTCTACCACAGCGGGAAGCCAGAGCCTAAAGCCACTCACACTAGAGTCTTTATAATTTTATTCTGTTCTCGTTGATGATATCCTTCAATTCTTATTCTATCTCCCTTTGATTACAAACTTTTTCATCATCATGAATTTTTGGGATAATTAAATTTACAGAAAAAACACCCAACTATATTGATAATACTTTAGAACCTGCTTCACAATGTCACAAATGATTTGTAAGATGCTACATTATTTTTTCTTAGGAATGCTAGTGTTACACATACTGAGCAGAAAACAGGTATATCCTGACCTTTCATAAAAGCAAATAAAAGCAATTAAAATGACCTAATCCCACTGTAATGTGCACCTATACCAATAATCATGTTACCTAAGAAATACAGTCTAATTTACATGAAAAAGGCAAGATGACAAGACTTTTGCGGCAGCGCAAGTCTCTGTAACAATACGCTTAATGCAGCAATTTACTTTTTTCCCTCCAAACATATTTAGCTGAGAATACTTTTTCTTCTCACTTTGAGGATCACCGTGGAAACAAATTTTCATCATTAAAAAAACCCTGTATTTTTGTTTTATGGAGAGAGTAATCCTTTTGCAGAATGGGAAGGTCAGTTAAATAATTCTGAGAATGATTTATGAGGAAAAATTCAAAGTCAGATATCTGGCCCCACCAGGCAAAAGCAGTGTTGAGGAAAAACAGCAACTAAGCTTTAGTGCAGGGTTAATCTGCAGGTTTAATAGCACCGCGTTCGGGATATCACAGGTCATATCCTGGGCACTGATGCTACTTTCACATTCTTCTAAACTCAGAAGAGAATTCATGCACCTGACTCGGCTTAAGACATACGGATACATGCATGTGAGACAGGCAGACAGCGAAAGATGGAAAGGTGGAGGAAGACACTATTTCCACCTGAGATAGATTTTTTTTTTCTTCTTTTTTTCTCCCTGATGTTATCTTAATTAAAAAGAAAAGTATCTGGGTAAAACAACTTAGTGAACATAGTCTATTAACAAATAAGAGGCATATCAGCATTTTGCAGTTCGGCTTTCTAGGCAGGCATTTTAAGTTTTTCAGAGGACTGATAAGCAAGCAGAAAGAAAAAGAGTCTAGTGATTTTCTTTTAGGAAAGTTTATTTAATAGAGGTCATATACCCAAACAGAAAGGGTAAGCAGAGGAAAAACTGCGAAATAATTAAAAAGCAGAAGAGCCAAAGATTAGAAAATAACCTTAAGTAAGAGGAAGAGGTTGTTGAGACAGCTTAGCAGAGACAAAAGGCACTGAAGAACAGAATCATCCATATTCTCACACTGTAAGATAAGGCAGATAAAAAGCCAATTAAACTTTGCAATGTATTTTTAAAAACATATTTTAGGGAAGACTCAATTGTGGACGCAGCCATTGAACATAGCAAGCCATGCAAGTAAACAAGTAACTAAAAATGCATGTAACCAATGTTACATGAAGTTGTCTTTTAAGGAAAAAAAAAAACTTCTAAAAAGTTTACAAATTGTTCTTTGTGTGCTTTTTAATGAATGGTGTACGGCCCTCACATTAGCCCAACATAAAACCATTACTTTAGGATAAAGTTCTCACCAATGCCACTATGAATAACCTGGCAAATCAAGTTAAAGGGATACATGCAAGACTGCCTGAAAATTGCATGCATTTTTAGGTAAGTCGAGAGTTGTCTCTGAAACGAAAATGCCTTCAGGTCCAGTAGTCATCATTTATTAACTTCTACACAAATAAGTGGCCTATGTTACCTCTAGAACAGTACCCGAGTCTGCCACCACATCTTGTATGACGTACGGTGAAACTCTCTATTTCTTTTAATAAAAGTTAAATACTAAATTCACAATTCAAAAAAAGGTAACCAATAAAACCTCAGTACCATAAAGACAGAATTTGCAAGGGCCTGGGGCCTGAGAAACGTTGATTCTAATTCAAAATAAATTCTAGAGGGCACACGCTGAGAGTGGAGCAACAGTTGGTTCATGCAAAGCAATGATTAACAAGATATTAATATTTTAATATATTAGCTTAAAATGCATTTTTATTGCACTATTTATTTGCTGCCAGACCTTTGGTGATTCTAATTTGACATTCAAAGTTGAGAAAGGCTTTTGGAAGTGGAGCTATGTAAAAGACTGGCACAAAAAAAAAAAAAAAAAAAAAGCCTGATGGAACTACCATCAATCCTTGTAACTGGACAAAAAAAAATAAAGATACTGCTTATCAGTGTACCTCTATGCATTTAGAGAATGCATGTACCTTAAGCTTACAGTTAAATGCATCCATTTCAGAGAGCTTAGAAGCAGTTTCTTTTTCAAGGGCATCTAGTTGTTCCTTAAGTCTTTGGCATAATTCTTCCTTTTCTAAGGACTTCTTGTGCACTGAACTGATCCCCGTACCTGCAGAAGAAAAAACAGGCCTTTTACAAGGATTTGTGTTTTCATGAATTATTTATTTTACTTCTTCCTAATATACATACACTCCAAATTTATAATCTCTGTCCTCACAAAAATTCCCTGATTTACTATTCTGTTCTTACAGAGCACAACGGAGAGCTGGGACCAACATCTAACTGAGACACACAGACATTACATGTAATATAGACAAAAAATTAATTTGCAATTTGTTTTTATATCATTTTAGACTGATTCATAGGAAGCTTCCGAAGATGAGGACTTCTAGAGTGATTTAGTGTAAAGAGTAGTGTAAGTTTTATGTAAGTGAACTCTCCTGATTTTACTCTACCAAAAAGAGACAGGGTGTTAATAAGGATCATAGTATCCGTGGGCTGTACAGGCTGTACAAATAGCGTTTCAAGCAAAATCCTTGCTTTCTCAGAAAAATACATTTTTTGCCCTGTGTTTAGAAAATGAAGAAAATAACGGAGAGTAGATATAACAATTTTAAGTTGGCATACGCTCTAACAATACAAATGGTTTGATTAATATCCCTTTATCCTTGAGTCTTTTCTACGAGTGATGAAAAGCTGTCAACGCACACCAAAGATAATTCATTTGTAGACACTTACTCTGAGTGTTGTCAAGCTGAATGTTTTTAATTCTTTCACTTAGCAATTTCTTTTCAGGAACTAAATACATTAGTTTATTCTGATACTCCTGTAGACATTGGAGAGAATATAACAAGTTTTTAATACTGTTTATAAATCAGTAGCTAAAAACGGGGTAAATTTTCAAACATAATTTAAATTCATGTTAACTAAACATTGTTACATATTTCATTAGGGAGAAGAGGAAAAATTGCCTTCTTTTACACTCCCAATGTAAATACTATTACAAATTAAAACTTTTCAACCCACAAGCATTAGCAAAGCTGGAAAAAAACATATTTAACAGACTTCCTGAAAGCATAAATATTATCATGAAAACATGTACGTTGACTGCCTTACCTCTAACATAAAATAACAACTTGTCCTGACACACAAGAGGAGATGTCACTTAGCTATTTTGAAGTAATTCATGTCTTGTTATTTAGAGAAGAAAAAAAAAAATCCCAAAAACGGAAAGGTAATTCTGCCTGAAGAAAAGACTAACTTAGCTTAGCACTTTTTACTCTCCATACAGAAAAACATCCCTCATGAAAGTCTGAGTCTGGAGCCATAAAAGAATTCATAATTAAAAAGAAGTCACTATTGTCTGCTTACAAAAGTGGAGCTAAGGTTCTGATTACTGTCACCATTCTATTATCAAATTGTAGCACATGTAATCATTTCTTTGGCAGAACAAAGAAAACTAACAGCCTCTGCAATGTCGATGGCCTTGCCAATTTCCTCTGCACGGTAATCAAACCAATTCATTATTTCTCCCTATTGAAACTTATTATCAACAGCATTACAGAAACACAGAACGGGAAACAAAGAAGAGTTACAAGCTTAAAAGCAAGCTACGTACCTGAAGCTCTTGTTGTAGTTGCTTGACTTCCATAATTCCTTGGTCATATTTCTTATCTAAAGCCTCCAGCTCAGTTTTCCAAATTTGCTTTTTACTTCGAATATCTTGTAATCTCTCTGAGATCTGACGATGTTTGTCCGTCTAGAAAGAAATCAAAGGAAAACTATAAACGAGCAATTCTTAAAACAACCCAAGACATCTGCTTTAGATTGCTCACCCAAGCCAAGCAAAATTCCTGAAAGGGCATTAATGTATATTCTAAGAACTATGTGCTTTAAAACACTGTATTTCATTTAAAGATAGGTAATGAAATTTATGTCTTACTAGGGCTTCTAATTCAAGATTAAGGCTCTTCTTCCTAGAGGTCAACTTGACAATTTCTTCTTGTTCCCTGTTACGTTGGTTAAGAAGATCTTGGCGACGAATTCTCTCCCATTCCAATCGTCGCTGGCGCTCAAGTTCTTGCTTAGCTGCCTAGAGAGAAATTAAATCAGTTTTAATTACAATGGAGATACACTATTTACAAGCAGAGCCTATTATACTAAATAATGGTCTCTGTTTTGTAACAGTAATATAAAGAATTGTCTTTTTTTCAAGTAATTTTATGTACTTCAGCATCAAAGAAGAGAGGAAATGATGCTATAGGACTCTTCATGCCATGCACCTATCTCCTGATGAAGAAAAACTACAGAAAGTGGCATAATTCAGAAAGTCAGTTTAGCTTAGAACAGTACCCATAAACGAGCACACATGTCTCAGAATCAACAGGCAAAATATAACCAATTGTGAGCTCAGTAGAATCATGCTTAGGATATAGGGTTTTTTTTTTTAATAGATTTCTAAGAAATTTGTCCAAGAAAATCTCACCTATGCTATGAAATATCTGAAAACTTTAATACATACCAATACCTCATTCATTTACAAAGGATATAACTTTTTCAGACAGAAACAATAGTCTCCCAAGATAGCTTGCCAATAGCCAGGCAAGGAGACTGAGCCACAGCCAGCATTCAAATCCTCAAGGCTACGTCAAGTGGGTACTGTACGCACATACGCATTCTTTAAAGCATTAAAATGTAATTTCAAGAAAACAACCTCCCGCCTTTCTATTTCTTTCCTTCGTTCCTCTTCCCTTTGTCTTTCCAGCTCTCGTTGTCTCTCCAGCTGCCTTTCCATTTCAAGTTGTTTTTTCCGTTCCTGCTCCTGTCGTTCCCGCTCTCTTCGCTCCTGTTCTTCTCTTTCTTTCTGAGCCTTACGCTCTGCCTCTCTCTGCTGCTGCTCCAACAGGACCTGACGGCGTTTTTCCAGCTCCATATTTCCCCTCTCGTAGTTTGCTTTCCTTTTGTCCTCAAATGTCACTAAAATAAGGAAAGATGATTTAGTTCTATCCTATATAAAATATTGCTCTTAAACAAGTACCTCTGTTGTGCCCCTAATGATATATACTTTCCTACTAGCAAGCTGAGGTTGTTGGATCATGGATAATTTAAGGGTATTGCACTCATTAAAGTATTTTTTTTTCCCTTTCAAAAATGCCAGTATTACTTTTAAATTTTCAAACGTCTATTCTAATGGCAAAAATGTCTAATGATTTAAAATTGCCCGACATAATACCTTGAATTTTAGAGGAAACAGAAAATAATAGCTTCTATAAATTAACAAAAGACTCTCTTCTTAAAAGGAAACACATCTTCCACTGTGCAAGAAACATTAACACACAGAGAAAGAGTCTTTAAGAACAGCGATTCCCCGAAAATCCTCCTGGAGTTAAGGACAGAGGAAAGCAAAACACGATCAAGCTCAATTACTGCAGTATAAATATATGATAAAAAGAGATAGGCAGGAATGACTTAGGCCCTAGGCAACCACCTTCCAAAAAGAGAACCAAGTCATATCTTACACTGTTTTGTAAGAGATCTTTGCTGGTAGCATCCAGGAGATTACAGTAGAATCTATGTTGTGTACAAATATATAGAGTTTTCAGAGAAATGAACAACACTGGGATCTCTTGGTTTCAGAATCCTCCACAAGCAGAACAAAGTAATGCCAACAACTTTTCAGCGGCACTGAAATATTTGGCCATGAAGGATTTCTTTTCCAAAATACATTATTAATGTTACTGAGAACAGCGCACTTTCCTAAGCTAAATATAGCCCCTATCTCTGCTTTCTCAGTGCCATTAGCTGTAATGGCTGACTATATCTGCTTAACAACCTTTCTTCCATCCAAGATGGACAGGATCTAGCTCCTGTAATGAAGCCCCTTTGGGATGTAATTATGTCTCCTACTTTCTAAATGTTTCAGTACCCTTCAAAGACCGCCCTATACATTAAGAATAAGACTGAACCATATTTTACCTGGCTGCTTTTTCTGTGGCTCCTCCTCTTGCACAGGCTGGAAAGATGGCAGAGTTCCATTTATATTTTCAGTGTATTTTCCACTTCTGGAGGAAGAAAAAAAAAAAAAAAAAAGGAAAAATAGCACAAAGTTATTTTATTTGTAGAAAATGTTTCCATTGAAAATATATTATGTTGCACTGCCCTCAGTAATTTACCTGAAAGAAGGTGGCACCAGTTCAGGAGGCAGAGTTAGTGGCAGAGGCTGTCCAGCTTTGGCCATATCAGTTAGATGCATGGCTAACACAAACTCATCAGCTTTCAGCTGTCCATCTCCATCAATATCAGCCAGTGACCTGCACAGTTGTAATAACAATTCTAATTAGAACTAAACATCACAATCACTCACAAATGATAGCGGAAAGAATTTACTGTAAAATAATTTTTTTCAATGGAAAATTCCTGTGAAGTGACGTATAAAAATAATTGCAATTAGTAAAATGAATAGTGGATAAAAGGAGACATTATTCTGTTTAATAATGTGCTGTTATAAAGATGTTTTCACAAAATATAGAAAAAAGAAATAAAAAAGGTAAATGAGGATAGGAAAGGTTAAATGACTTCTCTGACTTGTTGCGTCATCAACGCAAGAGCTGGGAACAGAATCCAGGTCTGTTCTTAAGCAGTCCTACTACATGACAGAACCTATTTTTTCTAAACTCATTCTCCCCCTTAAAAATCATATAAAATTACATCCAAATTCCACAGCAGGAACCTTTGCACAGATATTTTTTTTCTCTTCCCTTGTGTCTCCTTGGCAGCGAAGCTGTTGATGCTGCAGGGAAGATGGAAGCTACTGCAAAGTTCCTTGCAAGAAGCAGGAAAAGGATCACCTGCCCTCTCTAACAAGAAGGCAGAACACACAGTCATAGCTTTAGCCTACTTATACTCAAAATGTTCGTCACACGAGAAAAAAAAAACAATGAAATGCTTCCAAAGATGAAGGCAAGAAAGTAGGAACTTCTCTCAGAGAATAGTCTGTGTAAACATAACTGCAGGAATGTGTCCTTTGACTGGACTTTGTAGAAATGCTTAATGAAATCACTGCTCATGCCATTTATTTTTCCTCCACATACACAACTGGCCAAAAAGTATTAAGCAGAAAAGAAATTCAGAGAAAAACAAAAGCAAGAGATGATGTAATGCAGTTTTCAGTATGTGGACAGAACAGAACTGTTCATACCTAACATTACCGTTATTACACTAATTACCATGAATACCTCACACCAGTACAACTATTGATAATTCCTTACTTTGGACAAAACTGTGACTTGGTCTGTTAATGCTCTGAATGGCTACCCAGACCTCCTTTCATTACCTACTGATATCTTCAGTCCAGACGTGCTGGAGAAAAACAGTCACTGTGTACCTGCTTTACCTCCCTATACTCCAGGGTGGATGAATTCAGCCCGACACTCCATTTTTGCCCACAGCATGCAGCCAAATCAGCAAGCCACCTTGCTGCTAGTAGAGACAAACAAATGACTGCTCTTGAAATAACGGTGAAGAAAAAAGGGGAACTACCTCAGAGAGAGCTGTAAAGCACAAAGCTATTGTGAATTCTTCTGAGACAGTGAAGTTTATGCATAAACATCTGAGTTATGTCTAAAGGCAAAATCCAAACTGCTGTATCTAGCTGCTCAAAGGCTAATTATTCTAGCTTTCAGAAACTTTAACTATTTACATCACCACAGCAAAGGCAAACCCTAGCAAATGTGTAATATGTAGATATCTTTATGGAAACTACAGAAAACTTAAAAATCTAAAGAGCTACTGCTTTTTAATATCTCTTATTATATTTTAAAACTAACAAGCTTGGGACGCTCCTTTGTTTCGGAACGCTACTTTTCAAATAAACAGACCTTCCACTCAGCTTAAACAGCACATTACTGAATCCAAAATTGAAGTCAGTGTCTGTGCTATATAGAGTTCAACAGAGAGTAAAACACTGATGATATTAAGCAGAGTAGTCTTTTGAAAATTTACCAATGAACAAAGCAGTTTGAGGAAGATGATGAGCTTCAGTTTATGGTTTTTAGATCCATGGTGTTGCTTCATCATTTCTTGTTGAATAAGGTACATTTCCTCCCTAATACCATTAAGTGCATTGACTTCACACTCAGTAACTAAACTTACCAAATAGTAGCCAACTGAGTCTGTGAAAGGTTTGATTGCAGAAGGGCATTCCTTGCTTGAAACCCTTAGTGAAGAGATTATGATATTAAAAAGAGTTTCACAAAAAGCAATACTTTTTCAAAGATTCACATGTAATCGAACAGGTCAGGAACTCGGCCAAGTAGTTTTTTAATATTAATCTAATCCACTTTCTCTAACGGCTGACAATTGGTATTATTCACAGGCTTAACAACAGAACAATCCAAACAATAAAAGTTTAAGTATTCTTGTGTGCTTTTTTCACTCAGAACAGAAAAATTGTCAGGAAAATGAGTATTTATGGTAATCTTATGGTAGACTTCCATAATTTCAACAAGCTAGGATCCCACCCCAAAGCCTTCTAGGTTCCAGAGGCAGATAACACTGCTGTTTTTTCCCTTCCATATCAAAAGCCATACTCACCTGATAAATATCCACTCATACTTTTATCAAGACTGTTAAATTTCTGCCTATATTTTAATCTGGAGGCTTGAGGAACTGCCCAGTCTGAGGATACAATCTTTGGTGAATTGCCAGTTAGTGAAGCACTAGAGGACGAATTTGAACTGCAATATAATTAAAAAAAAAAAGTTTAAGTTACTTAGCTTAATAAACAGGCACTGGAACAGAAGATGCAGCATCTTCTGGGAACATGAAAAAAACTTTCATAAGGTTTTACCTCTGCTAACTAACCATAAATATTTTCAACATTAATATGAAATTCTACCATGAAATTAGGAACATGTATCTAAAAATAAATTCTTGGATTAAAGACCCTATCCTCTTGGTATCACAGGCATTTATGTCACATATTTCACTCGTGGGTCGCTGCAACACAATACTATAGGAAAGCACAGGAAAGCATCTTAACTTTCACAAGGATGTTTAAAAGAACTGTGAAGCAAGAGGTAAATGTCAAAGTAAACTAAAAAGAGGAATGTAAATGAATAAAAACATAAAACCATGAGCAAAAAAAATCTGATAAATTTGCAGCCAAAAGCTGCTTCTAAAGTTGTTAAAGCCACTATTCCATCTCTCCCTTTGTCTTTCTATTATTACAGGCGAAATGGAGTATTCAGTTCGTTTCTGCAGAATAGTGCTGATAAGTGCTTAGTTATGCCTATAAGGCTTCTAACTATAACACCTGTGATTTCCACACAGTTTTCCACGTTTGAAGATCAGACAAAAATCAGGTACCTCCTGACTTGTTTAAGGTAATTCCCTACTCTCCAAGTAAAAGACTATTTGCAGTGTTACATGAGGTAATAAAAGTAAGAATGCTAACATAAACAAAGCCTTTCCAGCACTATGTTGGATAGACACACTTCAAATTAGATGACGCGATGGTGAAAATGCTCTCAACAATAGCACTGCAGAGGATCTATTTTGCAACACTACAACAGCAGTAGTAGAAAGCATCCTGATTTTAAAATATTATAAATTAAAAAAAAAAAGAGATGATTACAGGCACACATCACGCCGAGAATCATCCTATTAACATCAGGTGTCTATATGAGGAGTCCAAAGTTAGATGCGCATTCATCCAAGATGCCTTGCATAAGCAGCAGAGAGGTACAAGCGCTTCTGAATCACCTTCTAGACTTGAGCAGAGGCTGAAATGCCCTCCGGATTGCCTTTTGGGGGACTGTTCCTTAAACACCCAGTTAGATAGATAAAACACTTTGTCTATGATGAAGCTCTAAAATCATTTAAACAGAGCAGATGATGACAAAGATGTACAGTTTTCCATTACTCAGAAAATGAATTCACAGATAAAAAACTAATATTCTTTCTACATGTCTGCTAATTATGTGGTGCCATTTATAACGAATGAGCACATCAGTTCATAAACATTGCTTTTATATCCGCTTGATGAGTTTTACTTCTATTTACTATTGCTGTACATTCCCTTATTTTTTGATTTGACTTCCTCTTGTTTGAACTCCTCACCTCCTTTGGATAGTTTTGTTAGATTTACTGAAAATAGTATTTATTACATTTTAAGAATTGGTTATTTTTTAAGACTATACTTTGAAAATATAAACAAACATTCTACAATTTTTAAAAGGCACACTTCTCAAGTTTAAGATATAATTATTTTAAACTTAACTTTCATACCTGCTAGATCCCAAATCAATTAGTGACTGTGCCTTCTGTATATTAGTACCACCAAGCCCTCCTGTCATGGGAGCAAAAGAACCAGTATGGGGTAGTGCTGAAACAAGCAAAAAAAAAAACAAAAAAAACACACAACAAAAAATTATAAAGCAAACAGGTATAAGGTAATACTTTAATAAATACTCCAGGTTTTGATATAAGTAAGATTAACCAGTTATAACTGATTCTATGAATGTGAACTTTAGATTTTTTTTTTTTCCCCTACTCCTATGAAATGATGAGTACTTCAGTATGAAATCATCCACAGAGAAAATCAGATTCGTACGTCTGAAACTGAGTACTGGACTATACTATACTTACTTGAGGAGAAAGGTACAGACAAAGGCTGAAGAAGGTTGGATGTTCCATTTGGCAACGACGAGGTACTGACAGAAGGCACCAGGGGTGCAGAGATAACCAAAGGAGGAATGGAAGTCACCGAGGTCAGAGAGGACATGGGGGCTAACGGTGTGATCGCAGACACAGACGTTGGCATGGACAGATTTGGCATGCTACCCATTCCTAGAGCAAATTCAAACAATTCATAATTTAATATTGCAGAGGCTCCAGCAAGACATTGGCTCCGTTATACTAGGCAGAGACTACACAAAGCAACCTGTATCAAGAAAGACAACAAGCTAAAATATATGCTCATGTATCTAAAGTTTAGATAACACAGTTCACAGAGAACATACAAAGTACTGAAGCACACGAAAGAAAAATCTCCTTACCAAGCAATTCATTCTCAAGGTAGATCTAGCTAGTATCTCACAAAACACTAAGATCTACCTCTCTACTACTGATATAGCTAGTTCTCCCACAAGCCTTTCTATGTCTGGCTATAGGAGAGCTATAACAGAAATCAAAGCTATGGCAGTCTCTATTACAAAGAACAGCTCACACTGTTTCTGAACCTAGTCTCTTCTAAGCCTTGGCCTTGGAAGAATCTGTAAGGGTGAAAAGTCTGTATTTAGCAACACGTGGCTAGCAAATGGTCTCTTTAAAGTAGCTGCCCGAAGCTAATCAGTTCACTGGAATTACTAGCTCAATCTTATGGAAGAAGGGAAGATGCAGATGACATGACGGAAGGTTAACATTAAATAACTATATGCCAACCACAGCTATAATACAAATGAATGTGCCTGGATGTAAACGCACATAAAATATTTTATGTTGGGCAGAGAGTTTACGTCACATATGTAATGAATAAACACACACATTTAATTTCAGTGCATGCCCACAGAAATGTACACTGTATTTTGTAGTCTAGCAGAAGTCATCACATATATCGTGTCCATATATTACATGTATCTTGCACAAATAAAACAAAATATCAACTGGCAGGTATGCACTGAATCCCAGAACACAGTGAAGAGGAAAAAAAAGTTACACTAGATAATTGTATTAATCACATGAATTAATCATATAATCAAAATAAGCAATCTGAATCATTTTGAAAAAAATATTTAAAATCAATTGTCCTACCAGAATTTTGGCTTTTGCCAAATTTAAGTTAAAAAAATAAAAAAAAATAAAAATACAGTTGGTGAATGAGTAGGAGGGAGACAGAAAAAGACCCTCAGTACAGAATGACAGCCTGCAAGTCACATGTCAGACGTGAACAACCTTCTTGCATCTCACGTCAAAATTCAACAGAAAGTTATTCTGTGAGGTCTATACTATTTCTGCATCATTCGATTTCTACAAAGGATGAAATTATTAAAAGTGGGCAGACTTCTTTCAATCTCAAGAAAGAAGTTTTGCAAAGTTCCTAAATCAGAATACCCCTTTTTCTTTACAGATTCACTTAACAACCGAGGTCAAACTAATGCTTATATTTGATCGTACATGAATCTCAAAACTGTGAGGTTTTCATCTCTGAACTTCAAATAATTATATGTTTAAAAGTACCAAAGCGAGCAGACATTAATGGTGAAAATACTGGAGTTTGCTTCATGACAGGAGGGAGAACCATAGGCAAGTGCTGTCCTTGTAATTTCAGCTTGATGAGTTTCATGGCTATAGAAAACTCCTGTTGATCCATTTTTCCATCCTTGTTCAGGTCTGACAGCGCCCTTAAACAGAAAGGAACAAAAACCCACAAGGAAAAAATCTGAGCTCAACTTTTTGACTTTATTGTTTTTAAAAAGAAAGTAAGAGATACTGCAACTATTTATAGATTTTCTACCTTTGACAACATACAAACCCTCAGAAGTTGGCAGAATTTGTTTTTTCTAGTTTGCCAACCTACTGGTGTTGAAGATCTACCTGGACTTCAAAGTATAGTGTCTGCCCAACTATATTAATGTAAGTCACTTGGTGGACTCCTATAGGATTCAGTTTCTAAACTTACTGCACACTAAGTAGTTAGCACTGGGGAAACTAGAAGGATGTTCGGAGAAACAGTACTTTCCTGCTCAGTAGGAAACATTTATTGCTACAATTACACCTCAGTTATGCTTCTTGCTACGCTACTAGCTGGCTCAGTTACCTTAAATGAGTATCTCTCACTGCAAGGAATTAATGCAAGAATCTGAAACACGGTAACACAGAAAACTGCTAAAGACACTAAATACCACTATGAAAAACTGTAGGCAGATTATGTTTTTAAACACATACACACCCTCTTCCTTTGGCATATTTCCAAATAAGCTTCAAGTACATCAGGAAATATACGCAACAGTGCATAAACAATCAAATTGTCAAAATTTCTCAAATCTTATTAACACTTAAACAGACCAGGCATAAGGACGTGAATGAAATCAGAAGACAAAATCACAGAATCGTTTAGGTTGGAAGGGACCTCTGGAGATCATCTAGTCCAACCTCCCTGCTCAAGCAGGGTCCTCTAGAGCATATTGCCCAGGATCACATCCAGACGGCTTTTGAATATCTCCAGCGAAGGAGACTCCACCACGTCCCTGGGCAACCTGTTCCAATGCTCAGTCACCCTCACAGTCAAGAAGTTTTTTCTCAGGTTCAAGACAATGAAAGAGACTTAATATTTAGCTATGTTTTCCCCTTCATTGCTACATTCTATTACTGTTCATTAAAATATAACCTAAGGTGCTACACAAACATTTCACTATCATTCTTTCTATTCACGTTAAGTGTCTAAAGAAGGAACTAAGTTTGCATTTTATCAAAATACGTATTTTCTTTAATATTCCTTCACAAGTGAGTTCCTCTTACTCCTTAATTATTAAGGGCCTCCACTGTGAGTTTCTTTTAGTGCGTGTTCGCCTCGATAATAATGACGTGCCCCAAAATGAATGCAGTATTCTGGTGAAGACTGAGGAGTTACAAAAGAAGAAAATTTCTATTTCAAGTGTTGCTACCGCCACAAACATGCTGCAAAGAACAGTATTTTTACCCAGTTCCTGAACTTCAGTATTGGGCTGAAATATGACAGTATATTACAACTGACCTTCTACTACCATATTCTACAGCTTTAGAATTTCTTTTGTGTTTCCTACTTTTGATATATTTTCCACTCCCATTTTAGCACCATATAATTTTTCCCAAACTTAATCTTACTACAGTTTTTTAGTATTTACTAGTTTTTCAAATAGCATTCAATTGCGTACCTCTGGAAATTTATTAACCCACCATTTACCTCTTTTTACATATTATTATTTAAAAATATTGAGGCAAGGCTTAAGAATCACCTTTGTGGCACTCCAACAGGCACTTCCCTCTACAAATGCCCTACAGTTTATTATTACCTTTTACATAAAGCATTTACCGTAGTTTTAAAGACAGTGTTCAAGATGATCCAATCTGAATTAACTTTGTACCAACACTTAACCAAAAAGCAGCATCTTTCTAAATCTTTCTCATAAATATGGATTCAATCTTTCCTCTAAACTTGGTAAATTCAGTAAAATTAAAACACAGATTCAGATAACATTCCTACTTTGACTGCTGAAAGCTTCTTGTAGGTAACACTACCTACTGAAAATAATACTTGCATGCTACACACCTCCTATCCTAAAAAACAGCTAACAAGGACTTACCATATTTCAGCAAGGACTGAAGCTGGTAGACCTGACTGTAAAAAAAAGGTACGTGCTTGATCACCTATGACAAACAAGAAAAAAAGAACAAAGGAGGACTTTTACACTAAAGCCACAGATATTTGCAAACATCAGTATTTTCAGAAGACCCTAATACTTGCATGTGGAACCCGATTTTCAAAAGGGACCAGCATGCTAGGTGCTAAGCTTTCTCAAGTTTAGCCTCATGTAACTCCTTGGTGACAGCAGTTCTCAGATATCGATGTATTCTGTAACCTTAACACTTTGCTCTGCGATATAGAGTCAAACAGTTACAAAAGCTTTAGGAGGTTACAAATCAATAACTGCCAAGACTTTTATAGATGATGCAAGGTTTAAAGAAAAATCATGTATTGTAAATGACTGAAAATTTAATCCTGACCTAATTCTTTTCATAGAAGAAGGATGAACAGGCTATTTCTTTCCTTCATCCAATCTAACTTGACCCAGTACTGCCTCTTTAGAACGTAATATTTTTTTCAGAGTTTTCAAATAACATTCAGATTCATCAGAGAAACATGCAGTAGTTCAACATTTCAGGGAGGGAAAGGGAGCTGTGGTATAAATCCATACCAAGTTCCACATCAATCGCTACCGATTGTATTGTTAAACAGACATAAAATAGAACACGGATAATGCTGTTCGTGCTTGCCCAGGGGTGAATTATACACGTTTAAAGCTAAGATTTCGGATTATTCTTCCTGCATCATTTCCCCTTATATCCATACAGAGCCTTTCATTTTAAGTGCTTTCCAAATAAATAATGAAGCCTGCAGACATGCAGCATACAGCCCAGAAGTGGCTCAAATTCCCCTGGGACCGCATATGTTTCAGCTGGTGGTAAAATACACACTAATATGCTCCAAAGTGCTGTATGGCCAAATCAGGAGATATCTATAATATATCACTTAGCCAGAAGATTTGCATGTTCCAAATGGGTAACTTCCCACTCCCTCCTCAGTCCTTTGTGGCCCCAAAAGAGGAGAAAACAAGGGCACTGGAGTTAACAGAAGGACTGAAAGATGGGGAAGCAAGGCAAGTCCAAGCACTCAGGGCTGGTCTTTCGCACCCACCCACTCGCAACGACTGGGGGCATCCATTAAGTCATCCTCGGTCACTGAATTTGAGCCTTTTCCGACTCTCCATTTTTAAAACCACAAATTCTAAAGCGTGCAGCAGCATGACCTAGCTGTTTTAGAAGAAAAACCTGAACGCGACCCCAGCTGACGGCAGGCAACTGCAAAATGCCATCAGCCTACGCAGCATTTGCGGAAGGCCCAAGGGTTAATACATTTCCAGCACAAGCTGTCGGGATCTCTCCCCGGGCCTCCTCCCCGATAACAAAGCTCTCTAAGAGCCCAGCGCTCTCTAATGCTGTTCAGACTGAAGAGGGCCACTTCTTGTGCCCCTGGCCTCCCCTGCTACAATAGCTACTGTAAGTGCTCCTTGGCAGCCTCCCACCAGAGCACAGATTTAGCCTGATACTCCTTGGTTTTTGAAACCAGCGCACAACTGGTGGCTGCCAAAGCGACAAGGTTAATAAGAGTATTTCTGTGCCAGACTTTAGTCCAAAGCTTGTAGAAGTTTAACAGTAAGAACCTGTGGCTTAATGCCCTAAGAGTATGCTTACTGGTCACATAATAAAGGGCTAAAGGAGGAGGATATAGTTTTCAAACTGTCCTACAAAGCTATCTGACGTAGACACAGCAGTTAACGCAGAACGCAGAGTCTCAGACCAACCTGTAATGTAGCCTCCTGCGGGTTTAAGGCTATCAAACTGCTTGTCATGCTTTGCCCGCTCTTCAGACGTGATGGCCCATATGTTGGGGCCTCAAAAAAAAAAAAAAAAAACAAAATAAACAGGTTGAAGATCTTTTAAAAAATAAAGCATGTCATTTGTTTAAAAAAAAAAAAAAAAGCTCAGTTTCTTGAGGGACAGAATTAGATTTCGACACACCCAGCTCCTACCAGTTTGGCAAGGATATGATGAAACACACGCTGGCTTCCCAGATGCAAGCAGTAGCCGAGCCCATTCTTCAGCCCCACGGCTTTACACTGGGCTTTCAAACAAGTCCTGTTGTCTCTCCAAGCCGGCGCAAAGCAGTTTCCTGTCGCTGCGAATTGTTTGCAGCCCGGG